TCTGAAGGAGCCACAGACAACCTTGTTGTAAAAATTAATCAGGAAAATATTGTATGTATCACATAATAAAATGTAATGTTATAAACTGCTTACCACATGCTAAATGCTAAATAAAAGATGACTGCTCTTCTTGTAATTGAAGATACTTCCTTTTTTTTTAATGGATGTAATGGAGGAGGGAATGGAGATGAGTTTGAGAGTCATTTAACTTTCGAAAGGCAGAATAAGTGAAGCAGAAGGAGCTTTGGCCAAAGAGCCTGCAAACTTTGATTTTAGTGCTGGATCTGCCAGCGATTTGCTGTTTTAAGTGCTAGGGAAGTCACGTTACCTCTGACAGAAATCTGTGCCCCCATGGAGTTTATATTGTTGGAGTGGGGGAAAGGATGGATGGTAAAAGTAAAAAATATATAAAGAAAACTGGAAAATATTCTGACCAAGAAAAAAATTTTTAGGCTTCTAGGCAATTTGGTTTTGAATACAATGAGGTGAAAGCTCAGTTGAAAAGCATCCTTTCTTCCCTTGATTTGACCCTTTCTATAGTACTTAGGTGCTACCACCAGATTGAAAAAAATAAACTTCATATGAAAATTGGCAAATATGTGCAAAAGTAGAGAGAATAGTAAAATATACTCTCACATACACATTACCCAGATTCAGTAGTTAGCAGTGTTTTTCTACATGGTTTCAACTATTTCCTTCCCCTGCTCTCTCCTTTCCCCCTCCCCTTTCTGACCCCATGTTTCTAGAGGACTGCAGGACTCCTGAGGATGGTGCTGTGCTCAGAAATGCTCTGTCACTTGTTTAAACTCATCAGTGGCCTGGTCGGTCTAGCCTTCTGTCCTTTTTAAATACAAGGGTAGTGGACTTAACCAGTGTGGTGGCTTCACTGAGTTCCCAGCCTCTACCTACCTGTCCCAGTACATAGACCAGGCACCGCTCTGTGGCAGTGCTTGGGAACTACACTTTCATCAGTAGCTTGGCGGCAGGAGAAAGTGGGTTGTCACTCTTGCCCACTGAATGCAGAAGTAGTATCATTCTCATTCCTTCCCTTCCCCTTTCTTTTCTTCCCTAAGGCAGCTTCTTTGAATGGGAAGATAGTGAGTTGGCCAAGCAATCTAGTGACATATAATCGAATATTCCTGCTATCACAGCGTTAACACTTTTGCATTATTAAGGGCTTCCCCAGATTTTATCTGGGGAAATAGATCTCCCTGTCTGAACGGGCTAGCTTCCCTAATCCTAACTTTGCTCCACGCCTCCTAACATCCTTAAAGAGACTTAAGTCCATTTGCCTTTCTTACTACCTGGAAGGCATCCTGCCCTTTGGAAGGAGCACTCCCTTTCTTTCTGGCTAGGATCCTTCTCCATGCATCCTTTCCTGTGATACCAAGAAAACACATATTTCCCCCCCCCTCCTTTTCCCCCCTTCACTGTGTTTTTCTGGACTCTTTAGTCCAATTCTTTCCTGCCCTTACCTGAACCCCTACTATCTTCCACAGTGCAATACCATACTCCGGTTTTCCTTGCTTTCTGCTACAGAATATCCTTTCTGGACTGTGGTAGGTAACATTTCAACTTCAGTAGACAGACTGTTTTCTTTTCTGGCAAATTGCAGGGGCTCTGTGTTTATAGGTGAATGTATACATAGTTCCTGTGCATTAGGCACTGCAGTATTAACCCCTTAAATTTTGTTGCCTTCTGAACAAGCATGGTATTGGCATTTCATGCTGTTTCTGTACTTTGGCCAGTACATTTAACACTCCTTATTCTCCTCTAATCACAGCACAATTACTGCATGTTGTGCAAAAAGCAGTGGGCTCTGAAAGTAGGGACTTTGTCCCTGTGATGCTCCATAAATAATTGTTGAGCAAATGAATGAGAGCAAGAGCAATTGACTGAAGGATTTTAAGTAGTGAAAAAAAAGTCTGAATGGTGAATAACAGATCAAACTAGAAGGCTTTGCATACTGTGTAAACAAAGTACTGAATCATATAAGCAACAAAGGCACCATTTAATCCAACCATTAATTTATGCAATTTAGAAAGGTATAATTTGAATCATGCAAAAAAGTACACATACCTTAAATGTACAGCTTGATGAATTTTTACATATGTATATATTTGGCAGTTACAGCTCAGATCCAGAAAATATTTCCAGAATCCCAGATGGGGTGAGGGTAGCTTTTATTTTTGGTTCACAACATTTTGAATACCAAGTCCCATGGTTGGTCTGTGGTATAACTAGGATTGGAATTATTACAGTTGTTCCTGGGATTAGCAAGTCTATAGACTTGAATAAAAACACTAGTTCATACCATCTAACCATGTGACAAAAATAATATTATGGTTAATGTTTATGAACCATCAGCATGCCTTGGCACTTTATATGCATGACTTCATTTTACCTGTTCCACCAGGTTTTGTCGCTGTCCTATTTTATAGATGCTAAAGGTTAGAAAGGTAAAGTCATTTGCCTCCAGTTCCACAGCTAGCAAATAGAGTTAGACTTCAATCCAGGACTGCCCTTCATCAGAGCCTGATTTCTTGTTGGTGATCAAATATCTGGTACCCAAGTTTAAACAACAAAAATGTTATGTCTTTATGGTGGGAGGTGATGATTCTGTTTGTTACCTGCACATGATGAATGCCTGTTTTAGGCATATTCTGAGCTGTGGCTTATTAGAATTATGAAAGTTCCGGAAAGAGGGTCTCTGGTTTTGTGACAGCCATGTCCAGAGTGATGTTGTTACTGAACTCAAGGGGCTCGCCACTTGGGGTGTTCTGTTCAAGAATGAGATATAGTTGTCACAAGGTAGTTTGATTTACTTGCAGCAAGGAAAGGAAACAGGATTTATATCCAAAGCTCTGTCTTGCCCAGATCTTGAGGCCCTTGATCTAACAGTGTTCCTTAGGATGGATCTCTATGAGACAAGAAGATGCTTTTCAGTAAGGATGACTCTTTAAAGTCTACATATAAAGTAAGACAATGGGCTCTACAGACAACTTTTGAAAACAGGACACAATATAGATGAAATGTGGACCTAAATATCCGGAAACTCCAAAATTAGTTTGTCTTAAAAATTAATATGAATGGAATAAGTGCTTGCCAGTGTTAGTAAAGTGGCAAACTTTTTACAACATTAAGATTGTTTCAGGAACTAAGACATCCAAAGAAAACATGAAACTTCCACAGCCACTAAATTTATTTTAATGGCCCTCAAAGTTGCTTAAACTACAAGTCTCCTAAAAGTGGTAATGTTTTAATTTGGTTTCACAATGCAAAAAGAACCCATCTCATTGAAAGAACTCTAGCTATTATGCATGACCTGGACATTTGAAAAATATAGTTATATTTGTCCATTATATTTTCAGACAAAGTGGGAACGACAGTGGGCACATTTTAGGGCATTTAGGCATAAGCTGGGAATACTCAATGAAATTCAGGTTTGTGAGATGAAAGCATGGCAAGAGGTATCAGATTGCTGTGGAGAAACATGTTTCAGGAAACTAATCTTAAAAATATATAAACAGCATGCTTTATCCCACTTGCTCGGCGAAAGGCTGCAGTTTTAAGTTGTTTAGAGTAGTCGGTACAAAGAATATTGTTGCCAGTTGTATTTACTTTCTGAAGAGGTGTGGGTGCCAAGAAGTGAGTTCAGGATTGTTTTGATATCTGTTTATTTTTAAATGGGGAATGGGGTAGTGATGGAAATGGCTTTCTACTCCAAGCTGCTCCTGTTGGTAAATGTTTCTTTTACAGACTTTGTTTAATAAATTATGCATTTAAGTGAAACCATCAATTGGGAAGTAGGATTATGGATACTGAATTCTATGATTGAAGTTAACCCTAAAATATAACTGTGGCAAGTGTCCCTCAAAAATAAAATAAATATGTAAGCAAGCAGATCATTGTTCTCAGCCTTTCTACCCCGCCCTCCTCAAACCAGGGGTTTCTTCAGTGTCCTGTGCAGAGTGCCTGTGTCTGTGTAGCTTTTTGGAGTTTGCATAGGTCGCCATGCCCAGGGCTGTCACTTAAGAACGCTGTGTCCCTGGAGCCAAGCGGTCCTGCTGCCAAGAACCTTTGCCTGAACAACGGCTGAACACCTCTGGCGTTGGTTCTTAGCGGTGAACTGCCTTCCTCCAAGTCATTCCCTCAGATTTTGTAATGAGCCAGTGGGCGGGGAGTGAAGGAGATAGCAGAACAGGGTGATGTCAGTGTCCTAGTTAGTGCTCTTCTGTAAGAATAGGCAACTAAGTCTCTCAGATTTTTGTGGTTGCTGTTGTTTCCTTGTTAAAAATCTTTTTTTAAAAAAAACTGAAATATAATACACAGACATTTATTTGGTTCACTAAGACGCTTCCCTTCTGACTGCTACCTGAACTGTGCTTCCTGCTGGTGATGATTTCAGAGGATAACAATTGGGAGGCTTTGCTAACGGAAGAGGGAAATTGAAATTAAGATAACAACAAGAATATCAGTGAAAGAATAAGTTGAGATCCCCATAAATGAAAGAATCCCGAAGTCGTGTTTCTTATGATAATATTATTCAAGGCCGGTGAAAAGACTAAGACGAGGCATGAGAAAAGAAGCGGGACATGCAGTCTTCGAGGCCTCTCTCTTGTCTCCGTTTGTTTTAACTACTTTGTTCTTGGGACTGATGCTTACGGTCGGGTTGCAAATAGACCTGAATTTTAATTTATTGCGTTTTCTTAGTTTTTCTTGATAGCTAGATTCTTAGGTGTATATATAAGTTAATTATGAGAACAACCTGCAGATGTTTTATAGTCTTCTTGCATATTTCAGATATGACAATTCAGATACTTAATTTTTTTTTCTCCATTTGAAAGCTGCTTCATTTAATGGGGAATTGACATAGTAGCGATAAGCCTTAATACAATGAAAATATTTTGATTAATTCTGGATATGTGGGATTTGATAAAGTTACATTGGTACTTGTTTAGGCAGACATGAATTTTAAAACAAGGTAATTTTTCTTACAGTCCTATTTTGTGACGGATTATGATCCAACCATCGAGGATTCCTACACAAAGCAGTGCGTGATAGATGACAGAGCGGCCCGGCTAGATAGTAAGTAATCTTCCTTTATTTGATAGTTCATATATCCTATTTTTAAAAACTAAGCTCTGATGTTTTTCTAGGTTAAATATAATAGAAATATTAGATAATCTTACACATAAGCCTGTCTCTTTCTTACGTTTTAATTGATAAATCTGCACATTGGGTAATTTAAATATTCCTCAGTAAATGTAAGGTAAAACAGCACCTGGATTGATCTTGTTCTGGGGAAACTAGTCCTATAACATTATAACTTGAAGTTGTGTTTATTGGGCTATTTGGGAAAAACATGTGAGGTTTTAGCTCTTTCTAGTGTTAGTAAAAAAAATTTTAGCTTCCATGGCCTAAAAAGGCTTTATTAGGCCATTGCTAGCAGAAAAAAAGAGGCCAGTCTTGGGGCATGGAGCCTACGCTACCAACAGCATGGCTGGGGGGGAGGGGGGGAAGGGGGAAGATAGCACGTCATCCGGAGTTTTGCAAGTGGTTAATACATTAGGTGTGGGGGGGAAAGATGTAAGTCATTCTGAAAAGGATTTCCATTGCCTATAGACCAAGGGGATGGGAGAAAGTGAAGCGGGCTAGTTCTGGGATAGGCCCAAGGAGTCCAAGGAAGAGGCGTCGGCTCCCGTGGGTTAGTGGTGGACAGCAGATTCGAAAATTCATGTGTAAATAAGAAGTGGGGCCCTGAAGGGTCCCAGGTTCGATTCTGGTCAAGGGCATGTGCCTTGGTTGCGGGCACATCCCCAGTCCTTGGTTGCGGGCACATCCCCAGTGGGGGGTATGCAGGAGGCAACTGATCGATGTTTCTAACTATCTCTCTCCCTCTCTGTAAAAAAATAAATAAAATATATTTAAAAAAAAAAGAAGTGGGGGCTCCTGGGGTTCTGTGGCGCCCCGCTGTTCTCTCTTTTGGGTAATTGTGGGAATAGCCACCTGGAAATTAATCCAAATCCCAGCAGATACACTGGAATGTGAGCCGTCTTTTGTCAGTCCTGGTCCACAGACTGACTGTCTCTCTCACTCTCTGGCAGCTGTAATTGTAATTTAGAATATCCAAGGATTTTCTTTTTCTTGTACTACCTTTTGGTAAAGCTTAAACTAAGTGAAGTAAATAAAGAAGAGCTTCAATATTTGTTAACTTGCTTAGAATTTATAGCACAGAGGCTTTAGCAAATATTTTTTTTGCTTGCCTAACACTTCACCTCTCCACAAAAGAAAGCCCTGTCCCTTTGACTAGTACAGTCCTTTCTTTCACAGAGATGAAGGAAACATTAGCACCTGCACTTGAAGTATGGTATTTGGGGTGTAAAGCAGAGTTTCCTTTTGAATTTATAGGTATCTTTTCCAGTTCTTTCCATGGAGGAAATAAACATTCAAATGAATTCAGAGGTTATCCGACTCCAACTGCCTAGATGTATTTGATATTTTTAACCTTGTAATTGGTATGCTAATATATTCTAACTACAAAATCAACCTGTGCTGATGAAGGTAATTCTGAAACTGGCTGCCATTAGAATATATATGTCTTTCATATTGAGAATAAAGTACTAGGAGGAGAAGAATTCCATTTCTTTTTAAAAAAATATATTTTATTGATTTTTACAGAGAGGAAGGGAGAGGGAGAGGGATAGAGAGTTAGAAACATCTATTCAGCTGCCTCCTGCACACTCCCTACTGGGGATGTGCCCGCAACCAAGGTACATGCCCTTGACCAGAACCGAGCCAAACGGTTTCTTTATCACACTAAGTATGACATGCTCTGAAGGACTCACATTAATTGGACCTGCCTTTGTGGGAGGCAATTTTTACATTGAAAACATGGACACAGTTACAGTTGTTGTTTTTTCTTTAGTTCTAGATACAGCAGGACAAGAAGAGTTTGGAGCTATGAGAGAACAGTATATGCGAACCGGCGAGGGTTTCCTGTTGGTCTTTTCAGTCACAGATAGAGGCAGGTTTGTACCAATATTAAAATGGAGATCTCTCTTCAGTCTAGACCAGCAGTCGCCAACTGGTGGTCCACGGACCACTGATGGTCCGTGAGGTCCGAAAGGTTGGCGACCGCGGGTCTAGACCACTGTTTTATTGAATTTGGATTTTCTGGTTTTTAGAAAGAAAAAGAAATAGAGTATTAAATGGGACATGGGACATATGCTGCTCCTTGGCCAAATTAATTGTTTTTCTTTTTTTAGTTTTGAAGAGATCTATAAGTTTCAAAGACAGATTCTCAGAGTAAAGGATCGTGATGAGTTTCCAATGATTTTAATTGGTAACAAGGCAGATCTGGATCATCAGAGACAGGTGAGAAGGAATTTTGCATTTGGGAAAACAGTTGTTTCTATGTAAGTGAGTGGATGTATTTAATGCAACAATTGAAAGTGCCATGATAGGAAGACTGTGCTGTTTGACACAGCACACTGTTTATAGAAGTCACAATAGGTAAGAAATAAAAAGGTAGTAGATTTGGGGAAATTAAGTTTTCACATTTTTTTGCGCAGAGCTTTAGTGGACTGTATAAACCTACAAGTATTTATACTAGCTCCAGTTCACATGTTATAATTTCTTGGGTAACATCCAAAGCTCTAATTTAGTTAGACATTCTTAAAATTACCCCCAAAGGCCTAATTTATTCATTATTAGCGCTAAATTACTTTCTTGTAGAGAGTGGATTTGATTTAAATGACAGGACTTGATTTTTTTTCTAAGTCCCGTTAATGACCGAATTTTCTGTTAATTTTTCACATTGGCTAGCTCTACCACTAGTAACCAGCAAGAAAAAAATATTTTCAGTATTTAGTTGCAGGCTGGTTTATACTAACTTAATTCTTTTTTTTTAAATTTTCTTTATTGATTAAGGTATTACATATGTGTCCTTATTCCCCCATTGCCCTCATGCCCTCACCCCCCCTGTTGTCTGTGTCCATTGGCTAGGCTTACATGCATGCATACAAGTCCTTTGGTTGATCTCTCCTCCTTACCCCCACCCTCCCATGCCTTCCCTCTGAGGTTTGATGGTCTGATCGATGCTTCCCTGTCTCTGGATCTGTTTTTGATCATCAGTTTATGTTGTTCATTATATTCCACAAATGAGTGAGATCAGGTGATATTTATCTTTCTCAAACTGAGTTATTTCACTTAGCATAATGCTATCCAGATCCATCTATGCTGTTGCAAATGATAGGAGTTCCGTCCTTTTCACAGCAGTGTAGTATTCCATTGTGTAGATATACCACAGTTTTTTAATCCATTCATCTGCTGATGGGTATTTAGGCTGTTTCCAAATCTTAGCTATTGTAAATGGTGCTGCTATGAACATAGGGGTGCATATATCCTTTCTGATTGGGGGCACTAGTTTCTTGGGATATATTCCTAGCAGTGGGATCCCTGAGTCAAATGGGAGTTCCATTTTTAACTTTTTGAGGAAACTCCATACTGTCTCCCACAGTGGCTGCACCAGTCTGCATTCCCAACCAGCAGTGCATGAGGGTTCCTTTTTCTCCGAATTCTCTCCAGCACTTGTTGTTTGTTGATTTGTTGATGATAGTTATTCTGACAGGTGTGAGATGGTACCTCATTGTTGTTTTGATTTGCATCTCTTGGATGTTTAGTGACTTTGAGCATGTTTTAGCATGTTTTCATATGTCTCTTGGCCTTCTGTATGTCCTCTTTCAAAAAGTATCTATTTAGGTCCATTGCCCATTTTTTGATTGGATTGTTTATCTTCCTTTTGTTAAGTTGTATGAGTTCCCCGTAAATGTTGGAGATTAAACCCTTATCAGACATAACATTAGCAAATATGTTCTCCCATGCAGTGGGCGTTCTTGTTGTTTTGTTGATGGTTTCTTTTGCTGTGCAGAAGCTTTTTATTTGGATGTAGTCCCATTTGTTTATTTTCTCTTTAGTTTCCATTGCCCTAGGAGCTGTATTGGTGAAGATATTGCTTCGGCATATGCCTGAAATTTTGCTGCCTGTGGATTCCTCTAAGATTTTTATGGTTTCCCGTCTTACATTTAAGTCCTTTATTCATTTTGATTTTATTTTTGTATATGGTGTAAGTTGGTGGTCTAGTTTCATTTTTTTGCATGTATCTGTCCAATTTTCCCAACACCATTTATTGAAGAGGCTGTCTTGACTCCATTGTATGCTCTTGCCTCCTTTGTCAAATATTAATTGAGTATAATGGCTTGGGTTGATTTCTGGGTTCTCTGTTCTGTTCCATTCGTCTATATGTCTGTTCTTGTGCCAGTACCAGGCAGTTTTGAGAATCGTGGCTTGGTAATATAGCTTGATATCTACTTTCTCATTCTTAAACTTACAACACTTTCTTCCCCTTCCTCTCAGTTTGTATGAGTGATATTTTTCTGTTTCACTGAGAAGTTTCTACATGTCCGATCTCCACATGAACTAACCTCAGTGCACATGTATCCCACCAATTCTTCCTTCCCCCACTTACATGGATAAACCCTTCACCTCTGTCTGACCAGCCCCTCCTGTAGCACTGGGTCCTGTTCCTTCTCACCAGCTCGTGGGCACCGCCCCAGTGATTGTTTCATTTGAGTTGCTGCATTTCTCTCCTGCGTGGTCATTCCCATTAGCATACAACATGCTACAGTCTTTAAAACAAAAAGGAATGATAGCAAATACTTGTTCTCAATCTGACATTTCTCTCCAGGTACTTTTTTGCTGCTCCACCCCATAGCAAAACTCCTTAAAAGCATTGTACACTTGCTCCCTCTGCTTTCTTTCCTGCCATTCTTGCTGGCGCTGACTTCTGGCATGCAGTGCCCCAGTCAAGGTCACCACTTACGCAGATGTCAGTGACATTTGACACAGTTGCTCACATTCTCCTCTTTGAAACACTGTTTACTTAGCTCTGAGACACCATTCCCTCCCCTTCTCCTCTCCTCTGCAGTGGCCTTTGTTGGCTCCTCCCCACCTTATCTTTCTAGGGTGTCTTAGGGCCCAGGGATGTACAAGGACAAACGTGCCTCCCAGCCTTGAGGGCCATACTCAACTACATTTGAAATTGAAATGTTACCTTTTTAAAATCTCTTCAAAATTAAAGGTGATGTTCTGTAATGTCTTGGCACCCTTAATTGCTCTACTGTCTGAGCCCGGACAGGCCATAGGAACTCTCTCCACCCCCCCACCCCCCGCCCCCTTTTAGAAATGCTTACATTTTGGTCATCTCCAGGTTCTTAGTAACCAGTCAGACTTGCTCATAGTTGTTGACCTAGCTCATTCATCTTTGCCTTTGTCTTAGACACGATCTTTTGGACTTTCTCTAGCTTCTAGCCTATTTTCTCTTTGATAGCAAATGCCAGTTCCCCATGTTCTCTGAGTGTGTGCTCAGCCTTGGGCTTCCTGCCACTGGCCCCTGAGACTAAACCCATGAGGGAGGGGAGATTAGCCAGAAGCAGCTTCGCCTGCTTCCTTTGGCTTCGTATCTCCGTAGACTTGTTCTTTCATCTATTCAAAATTTATTGAACTCTTTTTCCAGACACTGACAACAGAGCAGTAGGAAAAAACAAAATCACTGAAGTTTATAGAAAGAGATTTATAGAATTTGAATGGTTATTTAGCATTACCACATACCTGATCCCTTAGAGATGCATTGATCATTTTGTTTATCCTACCAAAAGTTCAGGGAGAACACATAGGTAACTGATTGGCTTGCTCGTGCTAAAATGTAAGAGTAGGTAAGTATGACAGCACACTGATGCTGAAACTTAATACAGCAGTGTGTGGTCTCGGGCTGTGGACTTTACGAACCTACGATTTCAAGTTCCTTGTCCTTCAGACAGCTCTGTCTAGAATGCACTGTCGTTAGCCCCCTTTTCCTCCCTGACTTGCCTTAGCTTGTCCCTTTCTTTCCACTTCGTTAGGTGTTTAATTGCTAGTGGCCCACGTCAACTCCCAGTGAGGGGCGTGCAGGAGGCTGCCGATTGTTTCTCTCCCTCACCCTTCCTCTCTCTCTCAAAAAATAAATAACAAAATTAAAATAAATATATATATATAAAAACAACAATAAAGGAACTCATTACACTTATAATAATAGCTACCTAAATGTGCTAACTCCTCCTGTTTGTCAGTACCTGGACCACAGTGTGCCCCTGCCGCCTCCCAGGACAAAGAACTCATCCCCCTCTAACAGTAGAGCAAGGGTCGTCTAGCCTTACCTGTTCGTGCCTTGACTGCATCTCAAAGGTTTGTCAACTGTTGACTTGAAGTACGTGCACCGAGGGCCTCTCAGTTTCCACCTGTTGGTTTTGTTCATGCTTTATCCTTAGCACATAGAACAAAGATGCACTCAGTAAATATTTGCTGAATGAATGAATCGGCATCAACGAATCAAGATGTGGTATTAATGTAATGACTCTTTCTACATAATAGGTTTGAAAAACAAGTTTTGCTTCTGTAAACTTAGGTTATTCATTAACTACACACATCCCGAAATAAGTATTACAAGTGCTGTGGTCTGTTCCATTTAAGCCCAGTTTGTTTTAATAAAGTTGCTCTCATCATTCCCAATTTGGTCTTCTCTCTTTGGAAATATGTAATATTACATAAGTTCATAATATTGTAGATTTCTGCTACTATACATTGTGCCTTGGAATAGTCTCCCTGGAGGTTTCTAAATGTAGATCAGTGAATTTGTTGCAGCAGATTCACTTCAGTTGTTTAAAACAAAACATTTCTAGATAGGCCTCAGACCTACCAAATCAGAATATCCAGGGGATAAGGCTGAGTATTTGGCATCTTTATAAAACTCTCTGAGGAACCTCTAAGAAAGCCTTGTTTGTGAGTCTTCAAGCTTCTGTCAATTTCTGGCTTCGCAGTGCTGTGGCTTCGCTTTGTTCCACGTGATGTTCATTTTCTTTGTGTTGGTGGTAGCAATGCTATTTCCACTCAGTTAAAATTAGGCTACACCCGTGAGCTCGACATCAACTTTATATGTGGTTAGAGAGTTCTTGAGCAGAAATATGGTTGTACAAACTTTGCTGACCTTAATTCCTGGAAGACAGTGGTGTGAGACCATGCTTTAAAAATAAATAAATTAAGCACATACACAGTCTTAGCAGTGGGATTGTTTTATCATCTAGACCATTAATTTGTTAATTTTCTTACTGTCTATAAAGACAGGTCATTTGCTGTTCCCCACTAGCTGAATTACATTATGCAGGGGGAATAAGGCAAACTACCTTTTTGAAGAATAATTGAGCGGAAAGACAAATAGAAAATTCTTAAGGACACATATTTTCCTTCCCCAGTCAAATTTCTATTAATAAAGGAAGTTGTTG